CCCCAAAACCCCAAAACCCCAAAACCCCTATAATTAAAATATTTATTGAAATGAGTGAATTTTTCTTTCCACAGCCCAGAAACGGATTGTTTGAGAAAATACAAATCTTCAACAACCATCATGATTTAAGAAATCATGTAAAAGAAAAGAGATTGAAGGTACATTCTCAAGGACAGTCATCCCATGAGAGTGTATTTCCAAGTTTACAGTATATAAAGTTCGCTAAATTATAGGAAAAACAGTCAGTACAACGCTCTAGACTTAGTCAAGCCAGGAGTTGTACTCTCTGTAGAATCCAGCAGTGAGGACTCACTGCTGGAGTATTACTCCAGGGAGAGCCCAGAAGCTGGATCTCACATTAAAGACTCAGGGCTGCACGACTACGCCAGAGCTTCTTCTTCAGATTCCATATTTAATGATCATTATATAAGAAGTTTGATCAATGATAAAGTCAAAGTTACTCAGGACTATGTTGATAAAGTGCTGAATAATCGATTTCAACAGAAGAATAAGTATGTAAAGATTCCTGTAGGAGAGAACCAGATACTTGGCAGCAAGTATCAACCTCTGAAAAAGAAAGCTTATGAGGAAATGAATGATGAAGATAAACCATTACTCAAGGATTGAAAGTTTCAGAACCCTGATAGTAGTTTTGATAGGGAAAAATAAAATATCTTATAAGAAAAGAGTCAAATATTTGCCTCCAAAGAAGGAAATCATCACTCCAGAAATTCCAAAATTGAATTTTCAAGATATAAATCATTGAAAGGGATATAAAGCTCAGGTTAGGCCATCAATGGAGAGTCTTCCCTCCTTGAGTAATACTCTCTCTAGTAAGGGAAGGAAGAAAATTCGATATCTCGGTAAGCAATTCTATGAAGAAGTTTTCTAGAAAAACAACTTTCCAAAAACTCCCATTCTCAGATTTCTAATGATAATAGTAAGACAAACAGGATGGTCAGTATCATGGATATCGAGAATAGTATAACAGCTAATTCTAAAGAGCAATGTTCAAAAATAGATGATACGAAACCAGCTGAGCTAAATCACAATCTCTGTCAAATCAAAATACCAAATAGAGGAATAAAGTCAATGAAAGTTGAAGCGAAATAGAAAGTCTAAAGCTAAGAAAAAAGAAAGTAACTCAAGACTCAAGAAAGAAGCTAATTTAAGCAATCCCTCCTTCGAAATTGATGTAATCAGTGGCTCTTCAAACCAAGAAACCCAGAGGCTGAAGAAAGGTAAACCTGCTACTTTACTATCTAGATATGCAGAGGAGGAGAACTCATGTGCAGAATCCACCGGATAATCCAAACTTGTTGGGAGTTAAAGGCTCTATTCATCCCTCTTCCTCTTCACATATGCAGGGATCACACTCATTCTACTCTGAGATAGACTTCTCACGGGAAAATTTATGGTCAAAATAAGGAAGAGGCTAAAGTCAAGAATAAGTCTAAGAACACACTTTATGAGGAAAATACAGGGGAGAATAAGAATACTCCAGAAGAAAATAAAGACAAACAAAAGAAGAGCACTAGACAAATAGTAAATGAGAGAAAGGATGAAGCAGATAACAATTTTGAAAATGATGTCATGAAAAGTGAGAATAATACAGAGATAGTTCAGATAAGACCAACACATAAAAGGAATATCGCCTCAGTAGATAAGATTCCTCTTCAAAAGCAATTTAAACCGTTTAACGAGTTGCTCGAGACTCAGTTAAATAGAAACTCTAGTATTTAAAAAGGGCTCTGCTTCACCGTTGAATTCTCCTTCAAAAGAAGCAAGCATGAAGTCCAATATAAATGCTGAGGATATTGATAAGAATAGAAAGCCTAAGACTAACTCTAGAAGGTAAAAATATGATAATTTCTAGGAGCAATAATTCTACTATAAAAACTCCAACAAGCAACACCCCTGAGTTGACCTACCGTGATGCGATTCCAAACCTACCAGAGGGTAATGCTAGGGTTGGGTATCAAACATCACCACCTCTTCTTGAACCTAGCGCGACATCCTCAGTAGATAAGATATATGTAGAGAACAACACTAACGGAAGTCCTTCCAAGAGACTTTCACCATTAGATCACCAATACACTCTTCCTGAGCATCCTTCAGCTGCTGCGATCCTTAAAGCAGAGGAACAGAAATATTCTGCACTACTAAAGGATGCCAAAGGTAAGTTTGTCTGTTAAATTCAGCTTTTCTTGGTCAATACAAGGCCTCTAATGAGAAGCTAGTCAAAGAAAACGAGAAATTAAGGTACAAATTAAAATAAGTGTAAATATTTGATCAAAACCCAAAACATAAAAATCCTCACCTTAGAAGAACAAGTCCAAAGAAAAGACCTTGAAAATATAAGAAACCAAGTTGAGATGGAGAAGAGGGTTCTAGAAAATACAAGGATGATGACTAATGGCATGCTAACCCAGACAGAGCATTTTCGGAGTTATTATAACCCTGTTCCGAGAGATTTTGATGATAGAAATTTTAACTACATGAGCGAAGCAGTTGATCATACACAATATTTTACACCAAAGGGAAGCTCTCCTTCAAAAATTGACTCAAGGCATATTAACTCTGCTTCCAAAATTCGAAATTTAAAAGCTGACCAGGATGAATCTGTCCCCCTCCATATATCTAGCAAATTTAGTGAGAATAGTCGGAACCGAGCTACGACTCATCATCAGACTGGTAGGACTGATAGTAAGCCTCCAGTAGAAAATAACCCACAAGTCCAGAAATCTCTCAATGTAAAAGCAAATGAAAAATCAGTTGAAGAGAATAAATCTGAGTCTGATATAGAATCTGTAAAATCTCCGGAATTCAAGCTGACAGATGATCAAATTGAAGAATATAAATCAGAACAGGAATCTGATTCGAGTGAAGCTAATTATAAAATTACAAAGGAATTCTCTACACTCCCTGAGAAATATAAGGGAATCCAGGAAGCTTCTAAGAGAAGTTTCTATATACCACAACAAGAAGTCAATGTTATTAAGCAAAAGACTGTTGAACGAGGAACTGAGGAGCAAGAAAATGAGAAGCAAATGGATCAAAAAGCTCAAGATCGCTTGCAATCTACTAGCATTCGAACAAAACCTGAAGGGGTTGACGAGGATCAAGAATTTATTGAGCATGACCTAACAGATGCAGTAACATATACAAAACAAAAATCTGGTGTTACCACAAAATTTTACACGAGTGGGAAAATTGAGAAGATCTACAAGGATGGGACAGTTCTGTGTACCTACAAGGATGGAAAGATCCTCTGTACATATCAAGATGGATCAAAAGAGATAGTCTTTGCAGACGGTAAGATTAAAAGGCTCACTAAGAAGGAGTAATCATACACATTTTCAATATTTACCCTGGAATTAGGGGTTTTGGGGTTTTGGGGTTTTGGGG